CTACGATGAGATCAAACAGTGGAGGGGATGGACATGTAGGTTTGATTAATTTAAGCAGAAATAAGGATCATACGTTTAATTTGTTTGTTTCTTTACCATAACTTTTATAATTTCCATTAACTTATTAGAGGCGTTAAGAGAATTTTTTAGTGGCAAGGTGTTTAATACAATCACAAATATTTGCTTTGATTTAAAATACCTTTTTATGTTACTATGGGGTATTTATAAATCATATAATCATTTATCGATTCCAGGTTTAATTTGCCTTTTTCTTTATCAAATTTTTTGAATTTTCTTCAACTTATTAGAGGTGTTAAAAGAATTTTTAGGAACAAAATATTTGATCTAATCACACATTTGATTTTATTTAAATTTCACAAAACTACATGTATTTTGATCAAACTATCACAAAATTACATATTTAAGGCGTTGTATTATAAAACTACAGATTTAGCATCATATTTATCAAAAAAATAATATTTAAGGTTAAGTATCACAAAACTGCATATTTAATATTGAAGTTAACACAAAACTATAGTTTTTAGAGTTTAATCCCTAGCACCATTATTATGCTGGAGCTGTAAACATTTTTTTTGACTAAATTGGTTCTAAATCTGTAGTTTTGTGATAATTTAGTTACTAAATGTGTAGTTTTGTGACACTTCATTTTAAATGTGTAGTTTTGTGATAAATTTGGTGTTAAATGTGTAGTTTTGTGATACACCAATTCAAATCTATAGTTTTGCAATAATTTGATCATAGTATCTGAAGTTTTTTGTGTTATTTACTCTGAAATCATTCATGGAATCCAGTATCATTGTCCATGGAGTGTACATTAATTGAAATTTCAAAGGTTAGCTGATGCTTTCATGTATACAAGCATGCCAGACATATATAATTTCTGATTGGGATGAAAGAGTATATATATAAGTTAAAGGTATCAATCTATTAAAAACCAAAGTAACTAACAAATTGTAAATCGTGAAGGTATATGTCTCACACTATTTTTTATTTGACAATAAAATCATAGTCAATGTGCACCTTAAATAATTGATTGATATATTAGGATATAAAAAGATAGACTAATAAAAGAACAATTCAACATATATATATAGTTAAAAGGTTATTCATCGACGATCACATACATCAGTACATGTCCATGCCGGTAGGCTCGCATGAAGATATACTTTGAGGCCGGGAGATCCGGCTATATACCATGGAAATTTTATTTAAAATTAGTTAACAATATAATGCTTATCTTAACTACCGTGGAGAAAAAAGAGGATGGAGAAGGGCGTGCATACGTACGCGCGAGCCGTGATGGGAGAGGATCGGATCTGTGGGGGCAGCGGCGCCGTACATACACTATTTTATATATAAATTTAATGGTTTATAATATTGGACCCACGTATTTAAGTGAAAAATAAAAGGGTAGATGTTTTTGCCATGTGGCAATCTGAGAGCGTTTTTAGAACACCACATGGCAGCTTGAGAGCGTTTTAAGGAAGTTTAATGGACTTTTAGTATATAATAGATAGATAATAGATAGATAGATAGATAGATAGATAGATAGATAGATAGATGGATGAAAACCAACACAATTCACACACAACAACAACCTACCGGCATTCATCAGACTAGCAAGAACTGAAAACTTCTATAAAACTCATCCATATGACTATAAACTTAAGTTGCTGCATCTTATAGTACTCCAAAATATGTTTTTTTTCCTGTAATCAGATGACTGCTTGTTTGTTTTGGGTAATGAAAATTTCCTGTTATCTAAGAAAAGAGTACTCCAAAATGACACTAAATTGTTTTTGAAGAACATCAATTTTAGGCGAGGCAGTTTGAAGAACATTAATAAGGCCTAAAAGGCTACTGCTCATATATATGAAATAAATAAATTTTAACTAGCTAGCTAAACCAATAATGTTGCTTGCCAAGAAGAAAGAAACATGCATGACTGCAGTGTGCACTAGCATGGATTTCCAATAGAGAAGAGAACAGCTTTGCTTCTTGTTCCGGAGTTCATCAATCCCCCTCTTTTAGGCCCCCTTTGATTCAAAGGAAATTCATAGGAATTTTAAAGGATTTAATTCCTATAGGAATTTTTCCTATATAGCCCTTTGAATCAAAGGAATGAATCCTATGGAATCCTATAAAATTCCTATGGAATGGCTCTTCCCATGCAAATTTTGAAGGAAATTTAACATGAGGTTCTACCTCATATTAAGAATCCTTTGAGTCTTTCTCTCTCCTCAAATTCCTGTGTTTTTCCTGCGGCTCAATCAAACGGTCATTCCTATGTTTTTCCTGTGTTTTGCAATCCTCTGTTTTACACTTGTATTCCTATCAGAATCCTATGTTTTTTCTATTCCTCCGTTTTTTCATTCCTGTGATTCAAAGGGGGCCTTAGGGGGTCCTGCAGGAGGTAGCTAGTCTAGAACTGAAGCAATGGAGTCAATGTCTCCTTCAGATCGAATCATGGAAGACATTAGGGCATCATCATGCTCAAGTGCAAGAAGTCCCTGCGTTTTCGTGGAGGGTGGGGTCCTCCCCCTGTGGCGCCAACCAGTCACAAATCAACAAGTAGAGCCAATGTTTTAGTAGCCCTAGGAGTGAGTGCTATGATTAGAAGGAAGATGCCATGCTTAAGCTAGCAGCTGACACCTTGACATGCATAGCATAGCATTATGTAGGGGAGATCAAGGAGGAGGCAGGGATTAAAGTGCACAACTATGGTGGACTGCTGATCATTTGGTCTGATGAAAGCTTGCCCACTTTATTGGTATCTGTACTTTGCCTTTCACTTGAGACTTAGCCTGTTTTTTCTGGTATAGCTAAGCTAATCTATGCTTGCTCATCTTTTCCACAAAGGCTTTGTGCTCAACTGGTGAGTTTTGATTGGCTGGGAGAGTACTTGATAAGTCTTCAGATAAAAACACTACCTTTTTGTTCAGCTCCAGCATATGCATTTCAGGTTTCACTCCTAGTAATTAAGATAATGTTTATGCATGATGTGTGTCTGCAAGTGTGAATTTTGGCCTACTTAGTAGCTTTCAGTTGGCCAAGCACTTTGACAGTGCCCTCCACCCTGGCAAATTAAATTAACTCTGGATTAATTCTGCAATGCAATCTGATCCAAAGACCCTAGCTAGTTGCTGATGCCATTATAATTAACTCTAGATTAGCTAGGCACTGAGTTAGTTATAAAAACCATGCACATTGCTAGAGCTGAAATGTTTAAGTGTAGCACATGCATGCTAAGTGCTGTAGGTTCCACGTTTAAGTAGATGGGTCCAAACACTATAGCTTGGATCATTAAGCAACAAAGGTATCTCATTATTGAGCTGCTTTCTAATGTACTCAGAGCTAATGCTCAGCTACTGATGGAGTCAGTAACTGTGCTAGATTAGCTATAGTGTGGTGTATGCTTGATTACCACTTGTTGCATAGGTACTTAATTAGGTAGGTTTGTTAGTCATCAGTTGTAGGCAGGCATCTAATTAATGGTGATTGTCGGTCGGAGCTAGCTAGGTAGCCACCATCATCAAATTTTTCCTTTTAAAAAAACAACTTGAGTTACTTGCAAGGCAGATTAACAACAGTGACGTGTGATGGTAAACCTGACGTTGATCAGGGACATGATGCAGCACCCAACACGGAACAGCAGATTAGCTTAGCTACAGCAGCAGCAAACAGCAAATTCGGAGTTCATCAGACGACAGAGAGAGATGGGGAAAGGGAAAGGAACAAGAAAGCAAAAGGAAGCGAGATCGATGGATCGAAAGGTGGTGAGAAAAGGGAGACTGAGAAAGGAATCGGGCAAAGCTGGTGTCAACTCCTGTTCCCGATCCTTTTTTTCTCTTTCTTCCCAAAAAAACATTATTCTCGTGTATACTCTTCTTTGCTTGACATATCAGATCAACCAGTGTAGGCCCATGTCTTGGGTGAACGAATCTGCTGTTTTTGCATAATTCTGTTCGTCGAATTTGGTCAGATTCAGGAACTGAAGGGTTATTACTCTGCTTCAGATTTCAGACAAAACTTCGATCTGTTGGGCCTTGGGAGGCCCAATCACACAATCACTGGTCTAAATAAGGAATATGTATATTTTTCTCCTTCCTGTCTTGCTCTATGTAGAATCGCCTCCCTCAAGACTTATTCATCCAAAGGGAAAGTTTACTTTAGGTCCCTCAATTTGTCGACGAGTCTGAATTCATCCCTGAACTAAAGTAACAAGATATAACATGCCCCTCAACCTTCAAAACCAATTCAAATAAGGTCTCTGGACGGTTTAGATGGTGGTTTTGGCTGACGTGACGCCTACGTGGCACTTAAAGTATTTTTAAAACTATGGGACCCACCTGTTAGTGAGTTCCAATTAAAATAAAAAATTACAGTGGTCCCCCTTATTTTTCGTTCCTTCTTTTTTTCTCTCTCACTTTTCTCCTTTCTTGCTTCTTCTCATTCCCGGTACCTGGCGGTCGGCCACAGGTTGCCGTCCTCTTCTACATTCTTGATGTTGCTCAACCTGTTCTGGAAGAAGATTGGCCCGCCCTAGTCGGTCACCACGAATGAGAGGGAGAGAAAAGATGGAGAGAGCGGAGAAAAGAGAGAAAAAAAAGGTGAGATCCACTGTAATTATTTTATTTTAATTGGACACTCACTGACGGGTGGGTCCTATGGTTTTGAAAAGACTTTAAGTACCACGTCAATGTCACATAGGCTCCATGTCAACCAAAACCACCATCCAAAACCGTCTTGCAACCTTATTTGCACTGGTTTTGAAAATTGAGGAACACGTCATATTACTGCGGTTCAGGGACGAATTCCAGACTTGGCAACAAGCTGAGGGACCTAAGTGAACTTATTCCTCATCCAAATAACTCAGAATTTGCGCATTCCGTGGCCCAAGAAACACCCGCAAGTCAAGTCTCGTCATGGGCCTTCGGATAGCCCACGACGTGGTGCTATGAAGTGGGCCTCGCATTGCTTCCTCTCCCGACGAAGCCCAGAGACGAGAGGCACCCACCTGCGCCGCCGCCATCGCAGCAGCAGCAGCAACGATGAGCAAGAGCGCCGGCGCGGCGGCGGGGCCGACGGCGGCGGCCGCGGCAGCCGCGGTGCAGAAGCAGAAGACGCTCCTCCAGAAGGCCGACGCCGACGTCTCCAGCCTCGTCGACAACTTCGCCGCCTTCATCAACATCGCGCGCGTACGTCCCCCCCTCCCCACTTCTCCCTCCTCCTCTTCCTTGGTGTCGTACCAAACCCTAACTCCTACTTCCGCTCCGCTCGTCTCAGGTCAACGACCCGCCCGTGCGCAACACGCAGGAGGCCTTCCAGATGGACATGCGCGGCTCCCGCTTGGTACACACTTGCTCCATGACTTGTTTCTTCGCGGCGGTGTTTAAATCATGCCCTATAGTATTTGTCTAAATGAGCAAATTTAGAGCTACGATGCCCCTAATTTTAAGCTTTAATATCACATTTGATGTGCCGGCTGGATGGAGAACTGGAGATGTTCCTCCTACCTCAGTAGTGGAGACAATTGGTGTGTAAGAAGAAATACCGAGGAATTACTTGCTCAATTTGGTATTACCATTGTATTAGGGGTCAAATTAAGCCATGGCAGTGAATCCTTGGTGCCATATCCTTGATAGCTGTTTGTTAGGATTTAGGAGTTATAGTATTGATTTCTTGATTTCAGGTGCACCCTGATCTAGTTGGAACTTATAACTAGAAGGCAATCCTAGGCAAGAGTGAAACTAGCTTTGCTTGGAAACCTCAGCTGTTTGGTAGAGGCAAATTAATCTTGCTTTGCTAAGCAAAGTAGGCAATAACCGTCAACAAATCCTTGCCCACCATGGAGAGCCAATTTGGCTCTCCCTGGACGGCAAGCAATGAAGCCCAATGTCATGGATGCAAGCAGTCAAAGACATGCTGGAACCACTTGGAGGGACGTACAGACAAGCAACTCGCTTGAACCAAACAAGCATACTAACTTCTATGAGCTAGCGATCAGACGGCCTATCCTATCTTATCCTGGCTAAGTAAACTTAGTGAGGATTCCAAACGCGCCTCTACTGAGTCAAAGTTCAAATAGACGAAGCTATCCAACGCAGAGGAGATATCACCGTGTTTAATCCGACACCCAAAAACACTATCTGGAAAGGAGATATCTAGTGCAAACAAGGACATCGCTATAGAGATGGAATTTGATATTTGAATAACGGTAGGGATGTTATCTGGGTAGGGTGAAAATGCAGTGCATATGAAACAGGGAATCAGGGATTGGTTAGTTAAAATTCAAGCAAGAAACTGACTCTAGTCACGCAGAGTAAGATTCAGAACATGATATCATAGTTTGTGTATATCTGTGGATTGAGAAGAACCTACCTCAGACACGCAATGGCCTTACTTATCATAGACAGTATGGTAATGGTAATGAATAATGAGTTTGAATCACATTTTGTTGCCTATGTATTTTCTGATCTACCTTTATGTTAACATATTGCAACCATCCATTCTACAAAGTATGCTTTTGTAATATAATTGGAAGCTAGTTCTAGTAATCAGTATCATTTGGCAAACCCGTTGAATGTGTAATTTCAGCTGCGATATGCTATCATGCTTTTCAGATACATTCAGCTGATTCTCTGTTGAAACTAGTGTCAGAGCTTAAGAGAACAGCTATCTTTTCTGGGCTTGCTTCGTTAACTGAAAATGTGGATAGGCGGATTGAGATCCTTAGTCAACAAGCTGAAGGAACAGAGAGAATGCTGGAGAGGATTGGGCAGGAGGCAGCAGGAAGCCTAAAGGAGTTGGAGGCACATTACTACTCATCTGTTGTGCGGACACCACCGGATGAATGAGGTAAATTCTACCTTTCTCTGAGTGAAAGATATTTCCTTGTAATTGCTGGAGGTGCATAGTTGCTTACAATACTAAGATTTGGTGTCAATTCATGGTTAATTGCAATTTTCAGTCAAAGACCTTTGCTGATGAAAAATTGTACATCAATTGATATGCAAAGCATAACGTTTAGTTGGGTCTAATTTGGAATTCTTGCAAGATGGACAAGTTGGTGGGTATCCCATAGATTGTTTTGCTGCCTCCATAAAAGATAGCCAGTTAAATTTGTTGAATTTAAGGGCACCCACAATGGTTATCTATAGGCTCTCTACAAGAGATCCATGTCAGCATATTTTTCTACTTGGAAGATATTAAATGAAGAGAGAGAGCAAAGCTATCTACTAACTTAGAGATAGTCTATAGAGAAAAACGAGGCAAGGCATGAGAGAGCTATAGATACCTATGTAGACATACTATTGAGGTGGTTTACTATTAATCTAGTCTATTGCTGAAATGTACATGTTTTATAGAAAGCACATTACTTTACCATTGCGGGTGCTCTAAGCAACGTCTTTTGGCCATTCTACATGCTATGCTTATATACTACTCCCTCCATCTACTTTTGATAGTCATATTTCATCTTGGCACACAGACCAAGGATAAGTAATTCTATTTATCTTTAAACATGCTACTCCCTCCATTCCAAATTGATCTACATATAGTTTTTTTGAGGTTATTTCTAAATGATCTACATATTTATGTTCATTCATTAGGTCTATTCGTTATTTGTGCGTTGGAGTAAATGGACATTGATGCATGCATCCATGCACACAAGCATTTATAACCCACATGCAATATCTTGATTTGCTATTGGCTAGGAAATAGTGGGGATGATGCATGCATTGAGTTTGTTGCTAGAGTAAATATAGTATGAGAGAGTTATTATTTTTTTTTGTCTTGGTATACTTATGAAATATGTAGATCAATTTGTAATGGAGAGTATACTAGTTATTCCTCGTAAATATGCGATTCATTAATATTTACATTTCTCGATGCACATATAGCCAATCTTGTGTGGAAGAATAGAGAGTTACGCATTAAATCCGAGAAAGTCATTAAGAGAATAGGTTGTTGGATTGAAATATGCCTATCAAAAATAAATTTTTCATATTTGGAAATATGCCTATCAAAAGTAGATGGAGGGAGTAGTAATTAGCAAGCACCTAGATAGATTCACAGCAAAAGGTTTGCCTATTGATAATTATGGAGACATTAAGGCAGCGCGGCTGTTAGTACTCTAATGATTTATTTTTTTAAGCTTAAGTTATTTGGTTTGGCTTTTAGATGCGACCGTATATGCTCTTTTTATATATGAAATAGACTAAATGACCAACTCCTAACTAGTCAGAAATGACTAGTAAGTCTACAAGCTTTCTACTCATTGATCGTCTTTACTATGTTATCAGGATTATCCCTTCTGAATAGGCGTGGACTTTAAAGCAGTAGTGACAATGACTTGTTCAGTATGTCTTATGTAAAATCACATTTAATTTAATCAAGAACTGATTTGATCTTTTAGCCCCAACTTTACTGTATAAGTTGTTGGGAACTTGGGATGCCTTTCTGGTTTCTACCTTTTTAGGCGTTCTAGTTTCCACCCAAACGAAGCTGTTTGCTCTCGTACGGCTGTGTAATTTATCTCTACGTGCTAAATTGATTACCTTGCATTGGAGGAACAATATTGACGCTTAACATGTGTTACAGCGGACTTGTTCAAACTGGTTAATATGAGTACATACCATTTTTTGCATACCCTGCTGATGTTAATCTCAGATCGTTCTGTAGAAATTCATAGTACGTTCTTCAGAACTGTAGAAAATCTCAGATTGCTCATCCGACAGTCCTTGTGATGTTGGATTGTAGGAGTACCTATGAGGCTATGACAAATGACAATCCTTGTGATGTTAGAAAATATCAGGTTGTAGTAGGATTCTGTAGAAGAACTATGACACGATCTTTACCTTTTCGACGTCCTCCTGCCTCGTCAAATGTCAGTTCCAGCACACTTCTGTGAGCTGTGACGAGAAGGACCGGAAGAAGTGCATGGTATCGTGTCATTTTACAGTGTTATTTCCTTTTGAGTCTCTTTTTATAGCACTATCTTTGTTGGATCTTTTCGTTCATTACTTCTACTCCCCCTTTCCAATTTTTTTATTTTTTTATAGATTTTTTCTAAGTCAAGTATTTATATATTTTATTAATATTTTTTTAAAAAAAATCATAGTTTAACAACGTGTGAATAACTCTCTGTTTCTTTTTTTTTAATTACACAGTACAACACAGACACTCACAACGTACATGCACTCACTCTTATAAACGTACGCACGTAAACCCTACCTCTGTTTCTGTTTACGAGGCATGCAGGCATGCCACTATACAATGAAAATGTCAAAGCCAGCGAACTTTAGCCATTGATTCCTCATAAATGGTATTGTTAATACGCATACAAAAGTAATCTTTCACGAAACTACGTAACGTAAGAGTATAATTCTATTGATATCGTTTTTAATACTAAATGTGCAAATCCTGGAGTAATCATTGGTGAAAATTCACTAACTTTGACTCTTTTACTTTATATAGTAGCATGTTTTATAAAAAGAAATGAAGGGAGTTTATATATATCATGAAAATATTTTTAAGATGATGTTAAGCTATATGAATTTTTAAAATTTAGTAATCAAAATATATCAATGTTTGACTGATGATAAAACTATCTATTTTAGGGAATTGATGATCAAACTAGAACGAGACAAAATTTAAGACGGAGGAAGTATTTTAATGGTGAAGCTAGTGTAGTACTCCTTCCTTCCCTAAGGCCCTGTTTAGATTTCATCCTAAAACTTTACACCCTATCACATCGAAGATTTAACATCTGCATGAAGTATTAAATATAGACTAAAAATAACTAATTGCACAGATTGCAATTAATTTACGAGAGAAATCATTTAAACCTAATTGTTCCATGATTTGACAACATGTTGCTACAATAAATACTCTCTTTATCTACTTTTGATAGTTATATTTTCAAATCTGAAAAAATTATTTTTGATAGGCATATTTTAATCGAACAACCTATCATCTTAATGACTTTCTCAGATTTAATGCGTGACTCTCCATTCTTCCACACAAGATTGGCTATATGGACATCGAGAAATATAAATATTAATGAATCACTTGTTTGCGATGAATGACTAGTAGCATGTTTAAATAGATGATAAGTAGAATTACTTATCCTTGGTCTATGTGCCAAGATGAAATATGACTATCAAAAGTAGATAGAGAGAGTATTTGATAATGACGGATTAATTAGGCTTAATAAATTCGTCTCGCGGTTTACTGACTGATTCTGTAATTAGTTTTTTTATTAGTGCCTGAACACCCTATGCGACATCATATATAATACCCAATGACACGCTAAAACTTTATACCCATAGAACTAAACACCCCCTAATTAGAGGGCTGAGGATGTGAAATTTTGTTGATGTTGTCTGTCCCTCGGCTATTTGCATGCATGCGGAACGACGCTTGGAGAATTGCTAGGTAGTAACGTTTAGAGAACCGCTCTCTGCATTCCAAAATTTAACATATAACCACCCTTAATCAAAAACCAAGAAATAATTATTAACATATCCTAATTTGGATCACCAATAAATATATTTTAAGAGTAGAAGATTTTAAAAAATAATAATTTAATGGAGATGAAGTTCTAGTCAATTGCATACTACATGAATGCAGAAAAAATCATAGTCAATTGCATATGAACGCATGCCTTATATTATACTCCCTCTATCTATTTTTGATAATCATATTTTATCTTGGCACACAGATCAAGGATAAGTAATTCTACTTATCATCCATTTAAATATGCTACTAGTTATTCCTCGTAAATAAGCGATTCATTAATATTTATATTTCTTGATGCCGAAGTAGTCAATCTTGTGTGGAAGAATGAAGAGTCACGCATTAAATCTGATAAAGTCATTAAAAGGATATGTTGTTGGATTGAAATATGCCTACTAAAAATAATTTTTTCAGATTTGGAAATATGTCTATCAAAAATAGATGGAGATAGTACAATACTAAAAAAAAAGTTATACCTTATATTATAAAATGGAGGGAGTACAACCATTATAATTGAGGACAATGAATAAGGTTAATTAGGACGTGATCTTTTTGGTATTGGCCTGTGTATAGTTCACGGCAAAATTAGAAGTTTGATTAAAATTTTAATGATGTGACGAAAAATTGGAAGTTTTTGTGTAGGAAAATTTTAATGTAATAGAAAAGTTAAAGGTTTAAAGAAAAAGTTAAAAACTAAACCAGGCCTCGGTGATTTTTCTTCACGCTCTCTGATTAGGGACGGAGAGGGAGTAGTATTGACTTCAGTCCTTGCATATCCCGGTACCGCCAAGTCTATCTTGGCCATGAAGAAAAAACATCTGAGCTTGCAGGTGTTGATAATTGTAGTAGATCGATCTTGAAGAGGACGAGCGTGGCCTCGGTGCACAATCCGAGGAGCACGAGAGCTGCCGACACCGCAGAGCGTCCAGCTCGACCTCCCCTGGCTCGAGATCTGTGGACGCATGCATTGCCCAGCACAAAATGGTCACTCAACTTTCCTCGCGATAACATTCATCTCTAGCTTCATGTTGCTTAATTAACTTCCCGTGTAATGTTAGTATTACTTAACACTGTCAGTTGTGACCATTTATACACGGGAAAAGCTACTTTCCAAAACCGCCAGGGCCGGGGTTACAGCACCCCGGCGGTAAGCACGGTTACTGCGCGGTAATTGCGGTAACCGTGAAAAACCGTATGAAATCTATCAAAAATTTAAATTATTTTTTAAATTTATTTAAATTTAAGAAGGTTACCGTTGTATTTATATTACCGTACCCCGCGGTAAGCGCGGTTATCGACGGTAAGTCGAACCCTCCATCCATGTCATATGGTCTCATTCTTTTCTAATTGATGCATTTCATGAAAAATATTTTTTATATATAGAAGCTTCAAAATATCAAATAATTATATCTTTCAAATTTAGTAGAATTAAAAACTTAATTAATCATGTGCTAATAACTCATACTTAATCATATAATCGTGCGCTAGTTAGACACATAAAAGTTGATTTCATTTGAAACAAAGAGCATGTAATAAGTACGTTCGTGTAGCACGTTGTGTGTTGCATGATTCCATAGAAAAGGCAGAAGCATCAAACACATCCGCACATTCAGTTGCGTGAGTTCTTGTGCGCCATACACATATACTCTCCCTCCGTTACTAAATATTTGACATTGTTGATTTTTTAAGCACATGTTTAACCGTTCGTCTTATTCAAAAACTTTTGTAAAATATATAAAACTACATGTATACATATAAGTATATTTAACAATGAATCAAATAATAGAAAAAAATTAATAATTACTTAAATTCTTTAAATAAAACGAACACTCAAACATATTTAAAAAAGTCAACGGCGTTGAATATTTAGAAACGGAGTGAATACATACGTACAGTTCCAAGGCGAGAGAAAGCTATGATGCTCGTTGACATTGTGTATTTTTCCTTTCTGGAATCAAATACGAGAAGACTAATTTAGTTTTGTGTCAACGCGTTGACAGTGCACCGCCACTGAACGAATTCGACGGAGTTTAGCACGTGCCAGCTGAAGGCTAGGTTTCTCTTTACAAAATTTTATTACAACGCGGGATGTCTTGGTCAGAATCTCACCCAAAGCACACATAACGGCAACTTTCTCATGCACGTTTAAATTAAAAACTTTAATTACAACTTCTTACAGAATAGTAATTGAAGTGGATAACCTCCGTTTTCTACTCGCAAAACCTAAGAATGTTTTGGTCTCAGATGCAGGTGTGCATTTGCAGATCATTACGGTTGGACTACGTTGGCACTGTTCAGTACTGGAGTAGTACAAGCTCGCTTTTGTCCTCACCCCCATTGCTCAGCAACCACGGAACAGGGTAGACTTCTGCCCAAGTACGGCTGCAACTGCAACAGCTGCACTGCAAGTCAGCAACTGCTATCCCGAATCATAATGCACTGGGTTTGGGAAAGTTCCTGAAGCTTTGCCAAGCACAACCCATTTCTTGAACAAGAACAGCACTACACCTGTAGGACTCTCTCAATTACAGTAAAAATGCTTTCAGCAAAACAGTTCCTTTTGTCGACTGTCGACATGGGGACTCGATGACTCATCATTTCATCGTCAGTTGAACGATCATTACTACTACCTGCCATACTTTGTCAGAGTTGAAAGTATCCCAGAAAGAAGGAACTACTGCTGCTACATGTTTGAGCAACAATTGCATCCATGCATGTCGCCCTGTTGATATTATGTTAATCCCATATGAATGTTAGGTGCAATGTCAAGGTCGCACGTATGATCGATCTGGACCATCCGCTACCAATCAGATGGCCTCTACTGTACAAGGATCGCCCTGCAACTCGACCTGCAGAGGAGAGGACCATTGGCGTGCCGTGCCATCTATCCATCTAATAATCTACTTGTCCACAGTCTCATCACTGTTATTTACTCACTCATCACCACAAATCGAGCCGTCCAAAATTGACCTAAAATGGTAAGGTAGCAGTCCAAAAATTTAATACCACTCCCACTAGCAACCCGTAATTCCGTATCAATAGCTCTCGTTTAACACATGAAAACAACCGGCGCAGCAGCAGCAAACCCTCTTCCGGCTAATTCCAGCAACGTGCGTGGACCAAGCCCACCATGGTCCGACTGGCCGAGCAAACCTGGCCCGGTCCACGTCCACGACCGGGCCCACCCGTGATTAGATACGTGTCAACCATCCTCAGTTCCTCTGACAGGTGGGTCCCACGAGGCACTAAAAAGCCAAAGTAAAAACAGGCGACGAAAAGGCTCTCCCTGTGCTCACTGGCAAGCAGGCGCCAGGGTTTGCAAAACTGTTCGGCTCCAGTGCGGGCCGGGCCCACCCGTCAGCCTCACTCCCTCTGCTTGCGGCAAGCGATGCTGTTGGCCCAGCCGCAAACCCAGCAGTTACCGGTATGCGACCATGATTAAGGATAACATTGGTAATTAAATACTATAAAACTTACTGATTGGAGTACTACATAGTCAAATAACTTGCATAATATCGTTGCCACCTTGAGCATGAAGCAGTGCAATCGAAAAAAAAAACAAAAGGGAATTTAACGATGGATGCATGGAAGGAAGGTAGCATTAACATTGCAATTGAGATGTTGTTAACAAATGTACCATCAAGGAGGACAATACCACTACTGCTACCACTTCATAATTAGGAGGTCCTTCTGCTAACAAGAACAGCTACTCCTTAATTAATTACCACTGCTAATATTGCCGCTACTCCCACTCTGTTCAATCAACCAATCGATTTACTACTACTAGCTCGTAACAACAACACCATAACAAGGGAGGAATTTAACATGGGGTTAATAAGGATCGATTAATAACAGGAGATTGTTGTGATTGTGATGATCGATGAATTACTAGCTTCTGGGATTTCTTGCCTGATAGTAGATGTCACAGTGCTCTGATCTGCTCTGCTCAGCTCACCGATCGTCGGGCACCCGGTAGGACTCGACGGTGATCTCGGACAGCCATGCACCGGGAAATAGCAGCTGGGGACGTGAATTTTTACGAAATTACGGATGGGTCCCTGGAGGATGAACGGTGGGGGCCGAAGCGTAAGGAAAAGGGAAGAGATGGAGGAGGATGAACTCACATCGAGTTGCTTCTGCACGGGGCGAGGTCGCCGCCGAGGCCGGCGGCGAGGGCGCGCGCCGGTGACAGCGTAGACGTCCTCCTCGATCTCCTCGCTCGTCAGCGTCACCGAGAACCGCGCCCTGTCGAGGGCCTCCGCGCGGGCCCTCGCGGCCCTCCGCTCCGGCGGCGGAGACGCGCTCGACGCCGGGGCGACCGCCGGGCGACGTCGACTGCGCAGCTTCCACGGGCGCGAAGCAGCCGCCGCCGGGGCCGGGGCGGCTACCGCCGCCGCAACTTCCGCGTCGGCCACCACGTCGCTCCCATCCACCTCGCGGAGGTGGAGCAGGAGCCGCTCCTTGACCCCGTCGAGCTGCTCCGGGGAACGCCTGGCGGCCGCGATGGCGTCCCCGGCGCGGTTGACGTGGGCGCACCGCAGGACGCGGTGGCTCCCCCACGTCTTCAGCGACGGGAACGACGAGAGGACCGCGGCCTGGTGGCGAGCGCTCGACGCCGCCGCCTCCACCGCCGCGGCGCCATCCGCGACGGGATCCGGGGGAGGAGGCGGGTGCGGCTCGGCGGAGATCACCATGGCCGCGGCCGCGGGCAAAGCCGCGACGACGAACGCGCGCGTGGAGGCCGCCGTCACCCAGACCTCCTCCGACTCCGACTCCGGTGGCGGCGACAGCGGGGGAGGGGGAGGGGAAGAGCGTGGGACGTGGAGAGGAGGGCGGCTTTGGCTTTGGGGCTTGGGTGGGGCGATGGAATGGAAGTGTGGGGGAAAGGAAAAATAGATGGAATAGTTGGTGTTGCTTGTGAATAAATATTGGGGGCGTGTGCGTTGAGGCCAAGTTTTTTTTTCTTTTCTTTTTTGTTGTTGGATGATTTTTTTAAGGAGAGAAGTGTGTTTTCTCTTGATGTTGATGGGTGGTAAATTTGGATAATTATGGAACTGCATGGGGGTGTGGTTTTCTATTTTCATGCAACACCTTCCTGCCGTCTTCTAGGTCCATTCTTTAACAATTGACTAAATTTCGCGGTTAAGCACAGCACGGATAAGCACTATTTTAGGATGATATTAGTAGGATCGAATGATGGTTTTTCCCAACGTTGTCTCCCGACACGGCAGTTATAGCAAGATTAATTGAATATTAGTAAAAAACTTGAAAAATATATTAATATATTTTTAAAAAAAGTAAATTTTCATATAGAAAACTTTTTTAAAAAAATATACCATTTAATAGTGTAAAAAGCGTGTGCGTAAAAATCGAGGAAATTGAGTTGGGAAAGAGGAGAAAATAACATGGCCTTTAGGCAGTCCCAACCCTCTACCTAGGATGGTGTTTATGGCATTAATTACATTGCTATGTAGAACTTTTATCTTATGTGGCACTATATTAATTAAGAGAGAGTGAAGAGAGGAAGAAATTGGGTCTCATGCAAGACACAGCTTTAACACGAGAACCTATGCAATAGACACTATCAAGTTTTGCATTGGGAGAGAATAATGTCTTCATAATAGATGAAGAATAAATATGATTGGTAGAGAAGATAGATGATGTATTTATTAATGGCCCACTTTATGAAACCATGGGTTGTGAAGTGTAGTTTCTATTGTGATGTCTTATTGGCATAACATCATAGACACTACTTATGGACATTATGAGTTGGGACTGCCCTTAACCTCTACTCCTATTTATATGTTCTTTCCTCAAGATTCCTAGCCTCACCTCTCATGTTATCCATACACACGCTTTCCAAAATACTAGACTATGCGAGTTTTTTAAAAGTTAATATGCAAAAGTTACTGTAAAAAATCATATTAATTCATGTTTTCAATTTTTAAGTTAACACTTCATTAATCATGTGTTAATTCATCGTTTCGTTTTACGTACGACGAGGATGATATCCTAACCTCTTCAAAATAACAAAGCCTTAGAATTTGATTAAACATACCTTTGTATATGCTTGGTGTATTTCCATGTTTGTTTTGTGCTTCACAAAACAGCGAACATATTTTATTCACGGGATATAAAATATCTACTTGAGTGTAGTGATACATTAATATCTTAAAAGAAACAAACTTTACAAACAACTTAGGACAGTTGTCTAAGCAATTTAAGATTTTTTTTGACAAATCCTATTTTTAGAAACATAAAGCAAATAATCATAAAAAACAATCCAATAGATTAATTACAAAATCACATAAGACCTTATTGGTTTGGAGAAGATTAAAAAGGATTGGAGGGAATTGATGGAAAATAATTTAACACAATAATAAGTGTAAATAAATTGCTTCCAATCCCTCCTTTACGGGGATTAACTGAACATGGTCTAACTGAATTGTCACTACAGTCGATTGGTATTATGAGATGAAAAACTGAACAATTGTTGACACGTGCAATGGCAATATCTCTCCGAGCATGATCCGAATCCCCTGCAGTTTGAATTGCTAATGCTACAGTCTTTCTCGGTAGCACTTGAGCACTTAGATTAAAAACGAAACGGTTCAGATCAGCAAGTATTGTAGCATCAATATTTTATTTTTTAGCTTGTACTATCACGTTAATACCGTAGAGGTTGGTTATAGCCCTAGAATTATGAATAGAAGGTGCAGATTTCTCCTAATTTAATTTACTGTAGCACCTCTCCATTTCATACTCTAATGCAGAGGATCCCAATCCGAGCAATACATGCTTGATGAAACATGCTGGATACAACACAAATAGGATTGTGATATGATTACGAAAAGTGGTATGGATTTCGTGATGATTGTTGCAAAGTACCACTGCCGACCATGTACGCAAGGAAGCGCGAGATGACGAGGGGCAAAATGGGGAAACCACACTGGAAACTGGCTGCGCGGCGTAGCCCGAGACCAAAGAGCATCCATCTCCATCTCCGAGCCCGACCTCGCGAACAGCCCACACGTACGTTACTGACGCCATAACGTCCGAGCCACCCACCAACTAACCAACCGACATGTGGGCCACAGCCGTTGAGCCCCACACTCCAGTGTCCGTTTACGTATCGCGTCCAGGGAGGAGAGCACGGATCGCAACGGAAAGTGCGGCGTGCACAAAAAACTCCGTATCCAGCAACTGGCATGTGGGCCCCACAGGATGGAGGCCCCACATGTCAGTTTTTTTGGGGGGTGTCTCCGTCTTTTCTCTATGGTTTGAATGTTCTTGGGCGTACGGCTGTCACGTGTTTCCGGCGGACGAGTCTTTTTTCAGCGGTAGGGGTAGTACGGCTGCCATGTGGGACCCACCACCGAAAACCGTAGTGACTCTCTCTCTCTCTCTCTCTCTCCATGCAAAAGAAAGGAAAGAGAACAGCTTTCGCGATGGGACGGTTGATTCTCCTGCTTGTCTCGCTCGACCGCCGACGACGAAGATACATTGTACTCCCGTCTCACTGCCAGGTGGGCCCGGACGTCGTGTGCGGTTGGCGCAACGCGCAACGATTTGGGCAACACGACTACCACGCCGGTTTCGAGGTTTTTGTTGTAGACGCAGTCCATGGACCGACGCGATCAGTAGCCGTCCATTCTGGGCCTCTAAGATTCTCGAAGCGGTCGATCCTGTGGACTGGGTCTACGCTGAATCTACGGAACCAACCGACTAACGAGGTAACCAACTGTTTACTGGTCTCCATCAAGTTTATAACCGCTCGCGTCGCGCCCATCTCCACCAATCCACCACCGCCACGCCACTTCACCCTTGTTTTTTTTTTCCCCTTCTCGCAAAGTTCAAACCCCCTCTTCTTCCCTCCCTCCTCTCCTCTCCTCGCTTCCGGGTTCCGCCGCGGCTTCATCCGATCGCCCGCGCCAAGAACTCGATCCTCATGGAGGAAGGCAAGCACGCGGTTGTTGATCTCTCCGAGGAGGAGGAGCGCAGAGGAGGAGGGGCTCCGGGGGAGGGTAGCTCCGACGAGGTCGGCGATGCCGTGGGCCTGGGGCGAGGGGCCGAGTCGACGGAGCCGGAGGGCTCATCGGCGGTTGACGATGCCGGCCATGGGGTCGCGGCGGAGGTTGCCAAGAACGACGATCTCGAGGTGAGTGGATGAGGGATGAGCCGCATTGGGTGCTGGGTGCTCGACCGACTCTAACTTCTCTGTTTCTTGGCGGTTCGTCGGTGCAGGAACCGTTGCTCGAGCCGGAGGGAGTCACGGCGGTGGGAAGCGGCGGCGGAGATGGGACCGCGTCGGACGGCGGCGAGAACGAACTCCATGAGGTGCCCAAGAACCCGATGGCGACTCGCTTCGGTGAGTATTCCCGAACCGCTCCCCTGTTCTTGGTCATCTTCTTCCCGAATGAATGTTCCCCTGTTCTTGGCCATCTTCTTCCCGGATGAATGTTCCCCTGTTCTTGGCTATCTTCTTGATTCGTCTGACGATGATTCTTTTTCAGCGTTCCGAGCCACGGATGCAAACGCGACGCCGGTCTCCACCTATCGCGGCATGTTGTCACGAAGCAGGAAGAATGCCGGCCCGACGCGCTTCGTCTCCGCGGGAGCTCCCCCGTCGGCTGATCCCGAGACTCCTGCTCTGAGCACGTCGTCGTCAGAGCTCGTGAAAAGCTCACCGGAGAATGCCTCTGCAGTGCCCGATGCTGACCATGGCGCCTCGCCAGGCAGAGGAAACGAGCAGGATCTTGAGGCGGCCGAGAAGCAGAGCGAGGCTCGCTTCGGTAAGATCACTAACCCCGACGAGTTCTTGTTCTTGGTTTTCTTCTTGATCGATTCGTCTGACGACGAGATTGCCAGTGTCCGGCCACACGGCGGCGAACGCGATGCCCCCCTCCACCTTCCGCATCCGGCCGTCTCGAAGCAGGAAGCAATCCAGCCCGACGCGCTCCATCCTCAGGGAAGCCGATCCGCCTCTGCCTGGTAAGATGACAATTCCAATTTTCCAAACGGCTTCTGTTCTTGGCTTGGTTTCCATTCGATTCCTCTGATCAATCGACTTCGATCGCCAGCTCCGGACGCGGCGGCGGCGGCGGCGGCGGCGGCGGAGTCCTCGCACCGCGAGCCTTCTCGGAGCAAGAAGCAGCCCCGCCCTGAGCGCTTCATCCCGGAGGAAGGCGAGGCGGCCGCCCGCGCCAAGGCTTGCCGGAGTGGCATTGCTCTCGACAGGTTCATCACCTCTCAGCTCAACAACCCGTCGGGACCGAGCACGGAGTGGGAGAGGGAAGTCACGGCGGCTGACGTCGTCGGCGGCGGCCAGGGAGAGGAATGCACCACGAGCGATCAGCCTTCTTGCTCGATAGCCATCTCTGATTCGGGGCCACCTGAAGAGCCGCTACCTGACGACAGGCGAAGAATCTACAGCGTTCTGGCCGTTCTTGGCGTTTCACTGGCCGTCAGTATGGCCGTGCTCGCGCTGTTCTACATCTTTGGATCCGAGTCTCCATCTCCGCCCAGCGACCCGAACCAGGAGGTAATCTTCAAACAGTACTGATTCTGAATTTCTGATGCATGGTTTAATCTGTTGGTTTTTGTGAGTTCTGATGTGAAATGTGCTGTTCTTGTTGTCTGTGTTCTTCAGTGACAGGGAGCGATCTGAATGATTCAAGATTCAGGAAAGGATAGCTGACACAATTCCTTATCTGTAATTACTTTTTCCTCTTCGGTGACGCGCTGGTGTTATCTGCTTCACTGCTTGTAAGGGAGAAGATTTGCTGAGTTCTGTTCGACGCGTTGCTATTAGATGGTTGTAAATGTAGCAGAATTACTGATTACTGTCTGTCTTGTACAGTTTCGATCGTGTGTTGTTACACGGTCGCTCTGGTGCCTGTATATAAGTGAAAGAAAGAATCACTGCAAGATAGCATTAGTTTCATGAACTTCAGCCTTTCTGTGTTCAGAATGGTTGCAATATGCAGTTTCCTTTTTTTTCGTAAAGAATCTAAACGATATGGAGCTGCCATTTTTCAGTTCCACAGGATGAAAATATCAGCTTACAGATTAATGAATTCTTGTTATGTGAAGTGTGAATGTTATGTCGGAGATGTATTCTCCCCTCTTAATTGCGGTGGACATCTGTACACTGTTTCAGACCTTGTATGTTCATCTGAATCGTGGATTCTTTGCTTTGGCCTGAAAAATAAGGAAATGGAATACTACTGTTCTGAACCTCCTTATTCTTGGTCTTTCTTAAGGAAAGCAGGAGCTCTGCAGTGCATTAAATATAGTACTCTAGAAAATAAGTAGGGTTACAACATTTGCGTAATGGAAAAAAACTGGAAGAAACAGAAAATAAAATGAATAGAATTATGGATTCTTTTCATAATAAAAATATGCTTTCGTTGAGAGTCGAACTCAAGACCTCCCGCTTACTAAACGGGTGCTCTAACCAACTGAGCTACGAAAGCAACTGTTAGCTCGCAAAACGGCACTTGTTATGTTAGCTTTGTTCTTACTAAACTGCATTAGTACAACATGACCAGAGCAACAACTTACACTGGTAAATCATAATACTCATCTCTTGCATTTACCAATGTGTTAATTTGAAACATTCACAACATTTCTTCTTTATTTGTTCTGCTCTTGAATCCAACCCCTGAATCCATCGACTGCAGACGGCCCAAGACTCTGAACTTTGTGAAAGTGCAGTGTCCCGTAGAGGCCGGATTGGATGCATCCATTGAAGTTAGTATCCAACAAAGCTGGCCCAAGCACTAGAATCCCAGAATCACTGCTTCCATTTTCCTTCCAATTTTCTTTTCCAGTAGAGAGGAGACACCAACAGGTACAGGCGGAGGCTTGTGCTATCCGGCATGCGCTGTGGCTGGCCAAAGAAGAAGGCTTCCATAACGTGATTGTTGCTTCCGACTGTCTTTATGTTATCCAAAAGCTAAACTCAACTGGGCAGGATCGCTCCAAGATCGGTTGCCTGGTTGAGGACGTCAAGAAGTTTGGTGTTGAGTTTATCAGTGTTTCCTTTATCCATGTTAGTCGTTGTTCTAATGTAGCGGCACACACATTAGCTCGTTGCTCTGAGCCCTCTGTCTGTAATGTTTACCGTAATGAGACTCCGGACTGTATCCGTGAGATGCTCCTGTCTGATGCTCAGTAATCAATAAAGTGCCGTCTTCATCTAAAAAAAACAGGTACAGGCGGCTGGACAGCGCCAAGCTCGCCGTAACAACAGTGTAGTGAGCTATAAAACGTCAAGAAACACCATAGATCCAGGGGGTTGGCCCCCTAATCTAATCAGAGAGCAAGCAAACACGAGGGCAACTGTAACACCAGCCTGAAGCCAGTAGAAGATGCCAGCCGAGTGAACAGTGATCACTGAGGACGAACAGAAAGAACTGTTACTATACACAGCACAGCCAAACATTCGTTCATATGGCTTCCCTGAATACAAGGGCGACCCTGTTTCAGATGCTCCCCTATACTTTGACCATTGCCGCCTCCATCCTTAGGTTTCAGTTTCTTCAACATCAGCTTAATCTAAAGCTCAGGTTTTTGTTATTAGTAGTACTTTTTTTTCTCGCACGCACAGAAGGATTGCACGTCAATATATTAGAAGAAAAGAATATTTGTTACACAACACATTAAGCCAGACCGACTTATGCCAATAGAGGAGAGAAACAAAAGACTAAGGAAAAAAAAAAGACTCGGATACTACGACTCCAAACAGCGGGAAGGGGGCATAGCCCACTACTCTCCTAATAAAACCCCAAAATTAGCAATGCCAGCTAACAAACAAAGATGGCCCTACTAGTAGTACTTTTTACTTCTTTCTCATATTGAAGCAACATTTGGAGCTGGTGTTAGAAGTAGAAGTGAAGAGAGGTTGCATTACTGCGTCAGAGTTGTGTTAGCTGTGACTGATTAACAGGTCACTTGAACTAGATGTGTCAGTGAGATATGATCATATGGTTGCTAATTAAAAAAACTCTTTGGCAATTATGTTAAATAAATCGTTTGCATGCATGGCACTGCACAATGATTTCTGATCTACTCTGGTCCAGCATCTCTCAAAAGCGAAGGCACGGAAGAATAATTGGGCGTGTGTTCAGAAGGAAGGTGACTGTTCAGTTGCTTTAATACTTTTATACAACTATATATGATGTATTGTCCAACACGCTGTTTCCTGATCGATCATGCAGACGTGTACACGGTTGGAGAATGGAGACAGTTACCTTGTCATAGATAGAGTTCATGACTTTTTACCAGAGACCCAGACTAGATTCACCTGTGTGGTCAAAATGGAGAAGAATTCAAAGATCTTTTCGCTTTTTCTTGTTTCTTTCTTCAGTGCGGCGCCTGAATGGAGAAAGAAAAAAGGAAAGAGAGGAGGGCGAGAGGCTACCTTTTCTGATATTTGTTTCTGTCTTACTGTCTAGAGAGCATGATTTTGGGATATTTGATCGAAATATGCATGAAATGGAGCCAACATGGGTTGCCCATCCCCCCGTGTTTGCGCTGGTTTCACTGATTGAGAGATAGGGACTAGTTAGGCCACCCCCATCATATTCTGTTCCAACAAAGAGCTTAACAATGTCTTGCTGTCGATGTCTCGCCATGCATTACATTACAGCATCAACAGTGACACAGTGATCATGCATTTTCTAGCCTTCGTTGTAAGTTGTACTAACTAATTGTGAATATCTCATTCTCACCGATGCTAAATTTAACTAAATCCCAGTATATATCGATGTCGCCTCTGTACATTGCGCCTCATGATTCAATGATGGTTGAATGCATGGGACTAGCATGGATTTTAGAAAATGGACAATGCTGCAAACTGAGTAGTACGAGCAGCAGTACAACATACGAAATGATTAACATGACGGTTTTGGGTAGAAAGCAGAGCAGCGGCCTATGTACGTAGGCTAAGCAGGATGAAGGCTGCACGCCACCAAAAATGCCAAGCTGGATTGCCAAAATTTCACATCCAAATAAACGAGAAAACGGCAAAGGCATATGTCATTCACGTAGGTAGGTGACCGACCAGGGGACCCGTCCCGCGCGCGTTACACCGATCGAATCAATCGCGGTCCGCACCAGAAGTGGATTTTTATCTCTCGGGAGATATCTCTTTCCATGTCACTTAGATGATTATAAAAAAATTTAAGAAAATATATTAACATGTAATATATCACTCAGCAAACATACAAGTTCAAATTCAACTTCTACGTATCGCAACGAAAAAGATAAATTTGACTGTGAATGTGAATATATGTTAATTAGGTGCAGTTTAATTTGTTTTTTTACGAGATGTAGAAGTTGAATCTGTACTTACATGTTTATGGAGTGTTATATCATATACTAATTAATCTTTTTAAATTTTTTCTTAACCATCTGACTGACATAGAGGATCAAAACGGTTTCCCGTCCGCACCCACAATTCCGCTGCGAAATTTGCACACACACATGCATGGGTCCCCTGCCCTTCCAGGCCTCCGCTCTATTTATCCATTTCTTCTCTCCAAACCCGCTTCGCCTCGATCTCGATCTCTCGCTCGCTTGTGGTCTCACACTACTACTAGCTGTGGCAGTGGCGCCAATGGAGGAATTAGCACCGGAGCTGATCGGCCCGAGGATCTCCTTCTCTCACGACGGCGTCGTGGCGACCGCCGGAGCGGCGACACCGGCGGCGCGGTCGGACACGTCGCTCGTCGTCGTCATGTCGTCGTGGCGGCGGCTCCCCGAGCCGGAGTTCGACTTCGCCAATGCGGCCGCCGCCGACGTCGCGCCGGCCGATCGACTCTTCGCCGGCGGGAAGCTGCTGCCCGTGCCGCCGTTGCCGCCGGTTCATCCCAAGCCAAGCCCGTGCAAGCAGCAGCAGGCAACAAGCGGCGGCGGCGTGAAGCCGACGAGTTACCAGAGGCGGCCGGGTTCTTGGACGTCGCCGTTCACGCGCAGCTGCAGCGTGAATTCCGCCACGACGGCGGCGCCGCGGTCGGGGTCGGGGAGCTTCAGCTGCCCGTCGTTCCCGCTCATGCGGAGCCGATCGGCTGGCTCGGCGGCCGCGGCGCAGGGCGGCGGCCTCGGCGGCGTCGTCTCGGGCGGCGGTCACCACCGGCCGCCGCAGCACAAGAAAGCCGGTGCTACAGCAGCAGCTTACTACTATGGGGGCAGCAGAAATGGCAGCTCCGGCCATGGCGTTAGGGTTAGCCCGGTGATCAACGTGCCATCCATTGGCACCAGCATGGTGAACATGCTGAGCTACTTGCTCTGCGACTGTGGCAACAAGACCACCAAGAACAGGGGTTTCGGACTTAATTGCTAGCTTAGGTGGTAGTAGCTTAGATAGAAGTAATTAAACGATTAAGCAAATGTACTCATCATGCTTGCTAAGATTCTAAATTCACTACTACTAGTCAATTGGGCTATGAATTGTGATAAATTTTCGCTAGTTTGACGCTGATGATGATGCTCCTCGATCTAGCTTGTGTGAGGGGAACAGATGGCAATCAATTTAATGAAGTGATCTTTCTTGAAAAGATCCCTTTAATTTAGCTAGCTAGCTAGCTATTGGTGCATTGATGATTGGTTTTGTGTTTGGCAAGGCATGGGTGAGCGACGAGGAGAGGAAAGGGGGGAAGTGCATGCATGTGTAATTGTGTGTGGGGGACGTGCGTTGGAGGAGCCATGGAAGGATGGATCATTTTGCGGGGTTGATGGGGTGCATGGGGGAGTAAGGGTCCCCGTCTTTCCGCCTGCGCTTGCTTGGCTTCGCAGCATTCTTCTCCTACAGCAAAATTGCCACGAAATCGACGGGCATACTTTCATTAATTTACCGCATAGTTCGTTGAATTTGTAAAAAAAAAACTTTCGCATTCTTCACGGCATATATAGTACGTCCATTTGCCACAGTTTGATACTGTGGTGTAGATCGATTTGCACCTGTGTTTCTCCCTGTTCCCTGTCTCTTCTTCTTCATCCTGTTGTTTGCATCCTGTATGTCGCACCGGATGCCCTACCTCTACCTATTGGACAGACCATACTAAACGAACATGTTTAATTAAGCACAGTTGTCTAGGCTTCAGCTCTAGAAAAGATGGAAGAGCTGTGCCAAACACACCGTAGCTAAGCACGGATAGTTCGATTGCAGATTTTACATTTTTTAGGTCAACTGTAACCAATTTTGGCCAAGTGTACTACAGTGTACTACTAATAACAACAACAATTGGTAAATGGTAATGTCATAACGCGTAGCAATAACTATGATCTCGTGGAGTGCCGGAGAGGAAGCGATCAAAGCGAGGCATTTCTGAGACCCACACAGATCACATATTCACATGCCACCGATCTAACGTGCCTGGGCCTCCGAACCCTGATTTTTGATCGGACTTGGACGATCCAGATCGGGTCGCTATTATTGGTAGCTCTCCTGTTTCCGTTAGTCTTCGTGGGTGGGCCTACAAGCAGCAACAGGAATTTTAGGCAGAATGGGCCTAAAAAGCCCTTCTAGTAAGGTTCGGCCCATATTAAGTTATTTACGGCCCAGGTACCAGGTGGCCCGATTCTCTCGTACCAATTTCCACCAGCTAGGCCCACTTGGTGGTGAGGGCCCACAGTACCAGGCCTCGCTGCGAAGAACCGGCCCAAGTGAGCTTAATGGGCTCCGATGGAATCGCCGCCGCGGTCGTGCTCAGATCACGCCGCCGCTATCTCGGTGTGGGGAACCCGCCGCCGGCTGCACATCCGAATGGCGGAGCTCGCTGCTCGGGAACCAGGCAGCCCGCAGCTTGATTCCCTGCAGATTTCCATGCGCAGCCAGCATCTTGGCTGCGCCGACGATGGCCGGACGGCTGATGCGTCGATAGCTTGTGGCATCGAGCTCCACGGCCTTGCCTGGCCGCGCCGCACGCCTCCATGCGCAGCTACTACTGAAGCCAGGCGTTGCGCGAGCCACCCGTGCGGCGCCGCGCGGAGCTCGGCGGCACGCGCCATGGCCATCGGCTGCCGCAAGTGCCATCAATTTATTCTTTGATGAGTGACGGTCGGCAGTGGTTGAATCGGTTAGTTCACTGACTTGTCTGTTCATCATGTTAACGAATAGAAGCCCAAAATCCTAGTTGGTCATATAATTGATCCGAATGTCTCAAGCTTCACCAATTGCAAATGGGTTAATTGCCGTCATTGTAAAGAATTGGCAACCTGTGGTTTGAAGCACAGTTGATCTGATGACCAACTACCCAACGAGAATTTTCAGAACATAACACCCAATACGTACTGCTTTCAGGATTTGTCATCTAATTCGTACTACTTTCAGAATACACCACTGGAGTGCGAATTTTCTTCGTTCCGTAACACTCCGTCCCCTAGCGTCAGTTGGCCCGTCGTCCTCCGTCCTCCCGGCGCCGCCGTCGTCAATCCGCCACCGCTCGCGCCCGCGTCAGCCCCGTCGTCGCCGGTCCGTCGCCGCCCGCGTCAGCCCCGCCGTCGCCCGTCCGTCGCCACCATCGGCGCACGCGGTGGAGGGCCGGAGGAGAGGGGAGCAGCGGTGGAGGGCGGAGGGCGTCGAGCTCCGGCGGCGGAGGTTGGACCGGCGCCGGCTCTGGGCGCGGTGGCGGCAGCCTGGTGCGGCGGCGGCGGCGGCTGAGCTCGGGGACGACACGAGCTAGCTCGCCAGATGCGTGCGGGAGGAGGAGCTCGCTAGCGTGGGGAGGTCGAGCTCGCCGGCGTGGGGGAGGATGAGCTCGCCAGCGGCCAGATTCGTGCGGGCAAACAGACAGGCGTCTTTGGGTGGACGGAGTGTTACGGAACGAAAAAAATTCGCCTCTAGTGGTGTATTTTGAAAGTAGTACGAATTAGGTGATAAATCCTAGAAGCAGTGCGTATTGAGTGTTATATTCTAAAAATTCTCACTACCCAACCTCTAGCTGGCTAGCTGTGTAAATATTAGTAGTCCAGAAAGTCAGTAAGCACTTGATAAAATTTGGCAGGCGCCAGGCGTTCTTTCACTGGACAGCTGAGGAAAAAGAGAGAAAACCAGTAAATGATTCCAAGCTTACAGCAGAGTGTATCATCCTGAGTAGACATACTACGCATACCAACTACTAAAGGTGGTGTAATTAGTACTAAGAACTGAATCCATGTGTTATAAGTAGTAACTAATGAAAATACAGATATCAAGCTACACATTTATGCATTGCACCTTATGTATATGCAGGTCAGGTTCGTCGTTGTTTGACCAGAGAGTGAAACCGTCTGCTACACCTCATATATATTCAGGTCAAGTTCGTTGGCGGCTGACCGCCGAGTGAAACCACCTGTTAATCCAACTCGTTTTCATCAGAATACCTACTGCAAATCCAACTCCAAAGCCCACGCCAACAAAGAGAAACATCACAATATCGACATGCTCAGAGGAGCTCTCTACATGTGGTTCAGCACTTGGAGGACTCCAACTGGCACATTTAGGCAATGGGTCTCCACAAAGTCCTGCGTTGCCTTCATATGAACTGTTTTCAAATGTTGCAAATTGACGTGACTCTGGTATCTTTCCCTCCAATTGGTTATTGCTCAGGTTCAAGACGGTTAGAAATGTCAGGTTAGTAAGCTCTTGAGGAATCTCCCCTGAAATCCAATTCGAAGACAGGTCCAGTGACTCCAGAGCAGTTATGCCGCCAATCTGGGGTGGAATTCTTCCACTGAAGGCATTATGTGACAGGTTTAGCACATGTAGTGAAACAAGTTTTCCGACCGACTCAGGAATGCTTCCTTCCAATGCATTATCAGATAAGTCGATTGCTGTCAAGGTAGTTAAGATCCTTTCAAAAGTCATAGAGAACCCTTTGCATGAGATTGTGACAGTATCTTGGTAAAATCCATCTGATATGCTATGACGATGGCTGATAGTTTCTCCTGTATTATTGTACTTCTTCATAGATATAAACTTTTCAAACCATTGCGGATGCAAACTGCCAGTGAAGTTGTTTGAGGCCAAATCAATGATTTGCAAGTTTGGGAAGTGATCTCCAGATTTGTCCTCAAACGTATAACCTATAGAACCGTACAACCGGTTTGATCTCAAGACAAGGACACGAAGATTGGAAAGACTTCCTAGCCAAGATGGAAAAGTGTCGGCAATTTTATTATTTCCCAAGTCAAGGACTTCCAAATATGTGCAGTTACCTAGTGCCCTTGGAAGCCGACCTTCAATCTTATTCCCATTTAAATCTATTGTCTGGAAAGCACATCTTGTAACATTGGTAGGTAACATCCCTTCAAAGTGATTTCCCCTCAAATTTAATATGTTTCTGAAGTACGTTTGTTCCATTAGGCAGGACGGAAATGGCCCACTAAAGTTGTTATGCGCCAGGTTAAGTACCAGCAGGCTTGAATTGCAAATAGAATGTGGTATATTTCCACTTATATTATTCTTGGACATGCTGAGATACCAGGTTTTACTAAGATATAAAGTGAAGTTTGGCAGAATAGAAGAGAATGCATTATGTGAATAATCCAAGAATTCAGCTGATAAGTTTGGTATAGGAATCTGTCCTTGAAGCATATTGGAACTAAGATCCAAAGTTTCAAAGTGCCTATTAAAAGGGAGAAGATATGAAGCAACTTCCATACTGGTGAGCATGTTGTGGGAGAGATTTAAATGCACGACGCTACTGCTCCATTTCTCCCATATCCACTTTGGTATGTTCCCACTGATTTTATTGCAAGAAAGGTCCAAATAAGACATGTCACTCAGACGAGTCAAAATACTTGGAAATTTAGTTATATTGCAACATGCAAGTCCTAGCTCTTTAAGTTCAGAGAGATACGTAGATGAAGAGTTATCGCCTTCGTCATCCATAATGACAGACAAGTTATTGTGTGAAAGATTCAAATCACGGAGCTTTTTTAACCTTTTAAAAGATGAAAGATCCACAGAGCCTGCCAAGTTGTTCAAGTCGATTTCTAGAGCAATTAAACTAGTGAGTTCAAAGAATGACTTGGGAAACTCTCCTGTCAATTCGTTGCTGGTCAACTGCAAACTCATCAGATATGAAGGCACAGCATCAAACTCTTGTATAGGACCAGAAAAATGATTACCAAAAAGATCCAAGAAGAGTAGTGCTGGAAGAGTGAAAAGCCGTGCTGGAATTTTGCCGCTCAGATAATTTGCTGGAAGCCCCAAATATATCAGTTTGCTCATGTTGACAATTGAATTTGGTATTCTACCAGACATATTGCACCCTTCAATAAATAACGCCCTCAATTCCTTAAGTTGTCCAATTGAATAAGGTATTGGTCCAGAAAACCGACAAGCTGCAATTTCCAAGGTCTGCAACTTAGTGAGATTGCCAATTGTGGATGGCATTGGCCCAGTAAATTCACAATTTGAGAATACCATGCTCTTCAAGCTTTTGAGGTTGCCAATTGCAGCCGGCATTGGCCCTAAAAACCCAGGGCTGTTGATATACAAGCTTTTTAAATTTGTGAGATTGCCTATTGAAGATGGCATTGAACTGTATGTATTGCAGTTTGACATATCCAA